ATCCCAAAACTACTTAACATGTATATTGAGGTTGAACAAGTAAGCAAATGGATCGTGGATAGTGGGAGCCAGGCTTCCAACTTTCGAAAAGAAAAATTGTAAACAATCCAGGAGGAAAGGCTAGAATAAACCGCGTGGTGCTGTATTAAATTTGGCGACATCAGTATGAGCTCATGTTTAGCCCAATATCCAGATGAATAGATACAGAAATAACTGCAACTAAGTGTGTATATATGGGTTAGTACGTTGTTGTGTCAGTTGACTTGATTCTGACTCATAGAGACCCTATAGGACAGAATAGAACTGCCCCATGGGGTTTCCAAAGTTCTAATCTTTACAGAAGCAGACTGCCACTTCTTTCTCCTGCAGAGCGGCTGGCGGGTTTGAACCCTTAGCAGCAGAGTGCTTTAACCACTGTGCCACCAGGGCTCCTTTAGTTTTATATACATACAGACATATATTTCCTAACTCTGTCCAGTGGTAATTCCCATAAAGTGACATCTCTGTAGTGATGAGCACACCCAGCACCCAGATCTTAGTTTCTAAATAGCATTCTCCAATAAAAGGAATGAAGTCTCTTGGAGAAATGGCTGATTTGGGGGCTGTGGCAGGGAAAATACAAGATAAACTGGGAGCATCTCGTTGTGCAAGATAGTAAAGGCTAAAAATAAACAAATAAAAGGATGAGGCATGTCTAAGGAAAACAGGAGTCACCCTGTGTGGTACAGTGGATGGCTTTTATATGGCCTTTCTCTCCATGGTCTTGTAACTCCCACCAAAAGACTGGGTGGGACTATGCAAGTGAGGTGCTTGTGGCCCACCAAGTGAACTGGATAGCTTGCTAACAATGTAAATATGGTGCATGGCACCCGTGTGGGGGTAGGACCATGCAAACAAGATGTATGAGAGGGACAGATGGTGTTGGAATAGGTAAAAAGGGCTGGTGAGAGAAGGTATGTCTGACCTCTGCCGAATAGGAGTTGGTCTTGGGCTGTTGATCTTGATTGATTCTTAATCTTCCCACACATACACACACATATTGTATTTTTATATTCTAGCATGACCAATCCAAAAATAAAACTAAGAAAACATTTTCATCCATAATAGCATCAAAAAATATCTAGGGATAAATTTATCAATAGAAATGCAAGACTTGTACAGTGAGAACTACAAAATATTACTAAGATTTCAAAATACATCTCAATAAATGAACAGCCATTCCATGTGCATGAATTTAAAAATTCATTATTGTTAAGTTGACAGTATTCCCCATATTGATGTATAGATTTAAAATTTTCCTTATCAAAATTACAGCAGGCGTTTTTGCAGAAATTTACAAGCTAACCCTAACATTTATCTGGAAATACAAAGAACCTAGAATAGCCAAGAGAATATTAAATACAAAGAAAAAAGTGGGAGGACTTTCACTTCCTTATTTCAAAATGTACTATAAAGCAGTTATCAAGTGTGGTATCAGTAATGGGGAAAGGATAGTCTTTTCAACAAATGGTGCTGAGCCAATTACGTATCCACATACAAAAAGATTCATTTAGACGCTTACCTCACACAATGCACAAAAAATGAACCCACAGTAGATCACAGACTTAAATATAAGAGGCAAAACTTTAAAACTTTTAAAAGAAAACACAGGATAGATATAATCTTCATGACCTTGAGTTAGGTTAGGCAAAGAGTTCTTAGACACAACACCAAAAAGCACAATCCATAAAAGAAAAAAAAAAAGATAAATTAGGTTTATTAAAATTCAAAACCTTTGCCCTTCAAAATATACCATTAGGAAAATAAAAAGACAAGCCACAGACTGGGAGAAAATATTTGCAAATCATATATCTGATAAGGGTCTAGTATCGGAACTGACTCGACAACAACTAACAGCAACAACAATCCAAAATATATACAGAACTCTTACAACTCAGCAACACGATAAAGAAACAAATAACCCAATTTTTAAAATGCGCGAAGGATCTGAATAGACATTTCTTCAAAGAAGAGATATAAATGGCCAATAAACACATGAAAAGATGCTCAGCATCATCGATCATTAGAGAAATGCGAGTCAAAATCACAATGAAATACCACATCACAACCACGGGGATGGCTGTAATTTTAAAAAAGTAAAAGGGAAAATAACAAGTATTGACAAGAATGTGGCAAAGTTGGCATTCTCATACACTTCTGCGGGGAATAGAAAATGGTGCCTCCTCTTTGGAACAGTTTGGCAAAAGATTGAACACAGAGTTACCACGCCAAAACCAAACCCAATGCTGTCAAGTCGATTCCAACTCACAGCGACCCTATAGGACAGGGTAGAACTACCCCAAGGAGCGGCTGGTGGATTCAAACTGCCGACCTTTTGGTTAGCAGCCGAGTTCTTAACCACTGCACAACCATGACCCAGCAATCCCACTCTTAGCTGTATACCCAAGAGAATTGAAAACACACATCCACCCAAAAACTTGTACACGAGTGTTCATAGCAGCATCATTCATAATATTCCCAAAGTGGAAATGACCCAAATGCTCATCAAAGATGAATGGATAAACAAAACATGGTATATACATATAATGGAGTATCATTCAGTCATAGAAAGGAATACAGTTTTGATACATGTTACGACATGGATGAACCCTGAAAACATCATGCTAAGTGAAAGAAGCCAGACACAAAAAGATAAATATTACAGGATTCCACTCATATGAAATATCTAGAATAGGCAAATTCAGAGAGACAGAAAGTAGGTTAGTGGTTGCCTGATGCTGTGGGTGGTAATGGGTATTGACTGCATGAGGGCAAAGGCGATGTCACTGAGGTGATGGAAATGTCTAAAATTGGATTGTAGTGATGGTTGCACCACTTGATAAATTTACTAAAAATTGCATTTATTGCGCCAAGGGCATTTTAAAGACATTTATGTGAAGGAATTAAAAACAGCGACTTTTATGGTATGTAGATTATACCTCGATAAATTTTTTTTAGAAGCACTCTGCGGGGAGAAAGAAAAGAAGGGAAGGAGGGAGGGAGGGAAGGAAGGAGAGGGGGTCAGGAGGTCATCTATCGACTTTGACCATTTATTTGAGCTCATACAGAGCTTATTAGGCTGTGGTCTGTTGTTGTTGCTGCTGTGGTCACGGTAGGGATGGTAGTTTTCCCAAGAAGGCTAAGGGTCAAGTAATGATTTGGACTTTTTGAAAAAAATCAAAATTTCAATTAAAAAAAAAAATAAGAAATGTTGCTGGCTTGAAATTGGGAGTAGCAGTAGAGACAAAGTGGAGATGATGGATTTTTAAAATACACAAAATGTAAAAGTGACAGGACTTCGTATTGATTGGCTATAGGGAGTGGAGAAGCATGAGGATGCCTCAGACTTGGCATGCTTAAAGTTGAACTCCTATTGTCCTCCCGCTTGCTTGTCCGCCCATGCTGCCAATGTCAGTGAGTGGACGGGCGCCCTGGTACAGAGCAGGCATTCACTGACTGTCTTTGGAGTGAGCAAATGAGTGAATGGAGTGAAAATATGTCCAAACAAAGCCTTCACCAGCTCCTGCTAAACAGCTAATCCTAAACTCAACATCAAGGTCAGACACAGCAGATTTCTAGCACAATTTCCCTCTCACTTTTATGACCATTCGAGAAATCATCAGGTCTCACAACCCAGAACACCCGTCTTCATATCAGCCACTCCTCGTGTGGAACCCGCAGGTGTGGCACAGGCTGTGTTTTGCCAAGAGCCTCTTACCCTGTAAATCTCTGCACACAGCAACGGCAGGTACATGTTAAATCCACATGAACATGGGCAATGTTTGGTGCTGCTGTAGAAAGGAGGGTCATGGTGGCACCCAACTGGTGGATCTATGTTCAGTTTGGCTCCAAGCAGGAACAGACTCTTACCAGCAAAACCCAAAAAAACCTATTGCCATCGAGTCGATTCTGACTCATAGCAACTCCATAGGGTTTCCAAGGCTGCAAATCTTTATAGAAGCAGACTGCCACATCTTTCTCCTAAGAAGCAGCTGGTGGGTTCAAGCCTCCGACCTTTTGGTTAGCAGCCGAGTGTTTTAACCACTGCACCACCAGGGCTCCTTCTTACCAGCAAAGGTGTTTATTAATGCTGACTTCCCTCCTCAGTCCTAGCAGGCAGAAAACAGAGCTGCCAGAAACATTGTAGACACCCAGTGATCAGTGCGGAAGGTCAGCAAACTGATATTTTACTGCTGCCCCAGGGTTAACAAGCAGAGATCTAGAACCACTCGTGGTTTCTGATGCAGAAGCCAAAACAAGGAAGTGATCGGTTCCAGTCCCTGATCACCAGAAATAAAGAACTAGGTGGGGCACTCAAAAGAAGCCTCCGGACTCAACCCCAGGGAATGTTTCCTGGTTATAGAAGAGAAGTGAAATTTGCAACCCAAAAGGGAAATCTGGCTGTGTGAGCAATAGAATTGCGGGTGGAAATACACTCTTAGACAGGATCAGGGAGCCCTGGTGGCGCAGTGATTAAGAGGTCGGATACTATCTAAAAGGTCAGCAGTTCGAACCCACCAGCTGTTCCACAGGAGACAGACGTGGCAGTCTGCTTTCATAAAGACTTACAGCTTTGGAAATCCCGTGGGGCAGTTCTACTCTGTCCTATAGGGTCTCTACTAGTCAGAATCAACTTGACGGCAACAGTTACACGGGATCATTGGATAAACATCCTTTTCAATGATAAAACCCAAGTCATTTCTCCCTTTTCCTGGAAGAGCTTTTTGCTGCTGTCAGGTTACAGGAACAGCAATAAGAGGCCCTTTTCTGGGCATGGAGCCCAGGACTCTAAGGGAGGCTCTAGAGAACATCTGGTCTGCTTGATATATAGAAGCCAGCACTGCATGTGTGTGTTTGTGTGTGTATGTGTTTCTCTGATGCTGACTCACAGCACTGAAGCCTCTCTGGAAACACCCCCACCCTTCTAGCCAGCCAATTTACACATACCCCTTTGGCTCCTCCTTGATTCAAATTTTAGGTCAAGTGGAAGAAGGAAAAGGAATTCAAGAGCTGCTCTCAAGCCTCTAGAATTCTCTGGACCCCACCTCTTGAGAAGAGAGACTGGCCCAGCTCTGACTCAGTCAACTACAAACTGGACTCTCCTTTTAAGCACCAACATTACTTGAGCCTTTGGATAAAACTGAAAGAGTTCACGAGTATTGTGTACTGTGCAGGAGTCAAGCGGCTGACAACTGGCAGTAAGACAGAAATATGGCAGGCCTGAGGCCCAGAACTCAAGCAGACCCTGAAATTGAGCTTTTTGTGAAGGTAAGTTTTCCAGCTATAATAACAGCATATGGACTGTATTATTTCTTGACTCCGGACTTCGTCTTTTTTAAAAACGTCAACATTTGGGCTAGAGATGTAAGAAAGAATTTTGTAATTATTTTCTTAATTTGAATCCTAAAACAGTGCCCAAGTGCTTAGCTGTTCTTAGGTGACAACGGAAAACATCTCACCTGAAAAAGCAAGGTGATATGGTAGAAAGAGCACTAGACTGATTGGTAGTCAGAGCACCTAAATTGTATTCTCAGTGGCTTCCTCTGCAACCTTGGACAAATCCCTTCCTCTCTCTGGACGTTTGTTTCTCCATCTATACAATGAAGGAGACTGGCAAGATGATTGTTAAGGGCTTTTCCAGCTCTAGCAATCTGTGTTTTATGAGATAGGTTTTGAAAGACCTGGATGGGTAGAGGTGAGGGCCAAGAATGGCCTGAGAGCCCCTTTCCCACACATAGCTCAAACAGAACTTTCTGAAATTCTCCTACAATGGAGAAACTTCACAGTAGAGTCGCATGGACGCTGTGGGAGGAAAACGAAAGACAGGAGTCTGTGTGTCTGTTATGTAAGAAGGAGGCATTTTCTCTTTACCGTCTGCCCTGGAGTTTTTTTACTTCTTAACTTTTCAGAAAAGCCCTTTGGAAACCCCCTAAAGTAGGCAAAAGGAACGTGTTTCTAAATTGGTTCATCAAGAAAAAAAGGTTTTGTATGGGTTATTCCAAACAGGAATTACATAGTTTCCTAAATCCTTGTTTAGATTAACTATTTATTTTTACCTGTACTTTCATTGACTATTGAAAGTACTCAGGATAATAACAATAATAGCAAACTATCATATCATGCTTGACGCTTTTCTAAGCATTTTACATATATTGCCTCCTTTAATCCTGACCACAATTTAGGGGGCAGGTTACCATCATTAACGTCATCATCACTATCATTAGTAGTAGCTGTAGTCATCATAGTCATAGTAATAGTGTCCTCATCATTTTCTAGATAAGTAAACTAAGGCATACAAAGCTTAAGTAACTTGCCTCTAAAACTATACAGCCTCTTTATCGCTTACAAAGACAGAAAATAAGGCATGCTTATCCAGCATTAGGTTAAATAGCTGTTGGCTAAAGTGATATTTTTACAGCCATTTTACATTATTTAACAACAATCACATATATACACCAAGGACATTATCAATCTGCCTCTTCAAAATAATAAGAGAGAAACATTGGCATTCCTATATAGCAAGGTAATCCAAACAAGTGTTTGCTGGACTATGGGACATAGGAGCTACTTTTCCTATCTCTAAATTCCAGCAAAAATATGTGAGTGTTCCGACACTAAGGATATAAACGAGCCTTAATTTCCTAACTGGACTTTTACACAAACCAATTCCAAGCCAGAGATAATATCTCTACATAGGGTAATTACTAAAGTATTCCTTTTGTCTAAACTGTTCATTCAGTTCAAACTCTTCAAACCAGTTGTTGACATTGATTTGTTTATCTTCATAGACTTCCCATATTTGAGTAGTAATTTGGAGGGCAGAGGTTAGCAAATCACGCATCGGATTAGCAACCATTGAATTAAATAATAACTTTCTAGTTAAAATGCTAATAATTTCTTGAGTACTTACTATACAGCAGGCACTGCACTGCATGGTTTATTATTAATCCCATTTTATAGATACAGAAACTAAAGCAAAGAGCAGTTAAGTGACTTTGTCCGTGGTCACATCGCTAGTGAATGGCAGAATTAGGATTCGAATCCTTTAAAATAGCTGTTTTGGTGAATGACCACATCCTGTCTTTGCCAGCCAAAGATACTTAAGAGGTAGGTAATTCATCAATCAGCCTAGGGAATTTACATCCTAAAATTTTATGTGATGGCACTTTAAATAATCTTATTAAATCATTTAATAACAAATCTTATTAAACTGTTTTCAATTGGCTGAACTTTTTAGTAAAATTTTCCAGAATTTCATGAGGTGGAATCCTTTAGAAATAAGCTCATAATAAATTATTAGCAATTTTAACCTGAAAGTTATTATTTAATTCAACAGTTGCTCATCCAATGCATGATTTGTTAACCTCTGTCCTCCAAATTGATTTTCTGGAAGAACCTTGGGTATTATCTGATGCAGGCTTTGTTTTGCTTTGCTTTATGATGTGTTCCACAGATCCCTAGAAATTTCATGGAGAATACTTGGGGTGAGGGGAGCATAGGGATTAAGAATGGTGAAAAATGTAAAAGTAAATTTAAAAAGCACTGCTCATTGCCAGTAGTATCTCCTTTATATCTAGTGTGATATCTTTCCAAAGATTAGAAGAATCTGTGATTTCCTCCGGCTACCTTTGGCTGTGGCTCAAGAACTCTCCCATAACTTCTTCCCCATACCACTGATGGGATCCCTATAAGAGATTAAGCACTTTCCCGTCACAATTAATTATCCATATCACACCATCTATGTGTTCCACATAGCCAAGGAGAGCATTGCTTTTCAGCTCTGAATGATTTTGGCAAGATTTATATCCAGGAACTAAGAACAAAGGGATTTTATAACACATATTTTTCTTTCTCTAAACGCAGAGTTCATCTTATTGGTCTGTTGTTCATTGTTAAATGGCATGTTTGAGTTCTCTATCAAACACTCTAAAATTAAGTTTTAACCTAATTTGTACATAGCATTATGGAATCAAACATTTGGGTCAAAAAATTCCGAATGTAATATTTTTGTCAAAAACTATTTTATTTGTGTGGGAAAAAAGGAAGAGATGAATGTTCAGACCATTTTCAAACTCTCTTAGAACTATCATAAAAACTCTAATTAATTAAAAACAACAAAATTATTAGAAGTGAGAAAGCAGTATTTAAGAGCATGGGTTCTGAAGTAAACTGTAGGTTCTATAGGGTTGCTATGAATCAGAATCAACTCGACGGCAAGTGTTTGGTCTGGAGTAAATAATCCTGGGTTTTCTAAGTGAGAAGAGGATCATTGTAAGTATTAAATGAGGCAATGTATATAAAGCACAGTAGTTGGTAACATAGTAAACACTCAATAAATGTTAGCTGTTATTGTTACTATTATTATTTTTCGTGTTTAGAAACTTAGATCACAAACACAAAGAGAAATAGCTGTTTCGGTGAATGACCACATCCTGTCTTTGCCAGCCAAAGATACTTAAGAGGTAGGTAATTCATCAATCAGCCTAGGGAATTTACATTCTAAAATTTTATGTGATGGCACTTTAAATAAGCGTAACATAAACAGAAGGAAAAAAAAACCCTTCAGTTTTCCTGTAAAACTTGACTGCATTTCCCCCACACCTCCCTGTTTTGCCTTTCCTTTTGCCAAAGGCGATCCACCCTTCCTGCTGTATCTATTATCAGACTCCATTCTTTTTCCTGTCTCCCACCCCTAATCATGTTTCCACCCACTAACTCCAGTTCTGATTTGTATCCTTAGTCTGACTTCTGTACACAACTGTTATTAAAAAAAAAAAAAAAATGCAGCTGCCAAGGTCGGTTGCCTCTTCCCATACCTCTTCACTCCCTGACACCATCAAAGAGAGAAACATTATTTCCTCTGTTTCACCCACTGCCAGGGAAAGGAAAGTTTGCCAAAAAATTTAAATTATACCCAGGGTTTTTGTGACCTTAATATTGCTACAAATAACAGATAAGAGCAGCTGTAGGAGGAAGTATCCTTTGTTTCCTTCTACAGGCTACAAGCTTGTGGATAAGTGATACATAAAAGAAAAAAAATTTAGTTCCAAAAGATTAAAGATGCTTATAGCTTGGACTTAGGTAGTCAGCACCTAACAGTGCTTGGGAGATACTAAGCATTAAATAAGCATTGAATGAATGAATGAAGTCATGGCCACGGGAAAGGAGAGAACTGAATTTATTTGGGAGATATTTTTATGTAAAATTGACAAGAATTGGTATTGGATTGAATGTTGGGGGTGAAGCAGAGGGATGAGTACTGGTTTTCTAGCTTGAGCAACTGGGTGGATGGCAGTGCCATTCACAGGAGTGTGAGCCCTATAAAAAATCAGGTTGATGTGTAGAGTAAACACAAAAGGAGTAATTCCATTTGGGACATGTTCAGATTTAAGTGTCTAAAACCTGAATCTTCCGTGAGAACACTGCATCAGCTATAGCCCTCTCAAGAAGTGGCTGCTTTTTCTTCCTCATTCCTCTTACCACTGAGCCTGGAGATGCGGTAGGTGTCCTTGCTCCTCATTGCTGTTTACAGACCATTCTACCTCCTCCATTCAGAGAAACGCCTATGTTGGGTCTCATAACATCAAACTAAGCCACTCACTACCCCTCCTTGTTATACTTATCTTCTAAACCCCAGGTCACTCTCCCTTATTCCTTGAGGATTTTAGGTCCTGCGTCACTGACACTCTGCCCATTACTACTCCTGTCGTAATTCTTGGTGATTTCAAAATCTACACAGATGATCCTTGCGATACTGGTCTCTCAGATCCTTGACTTGCTCTCCTCCAGTGATCTTGTTCCACTGTTTCTCAGCCCTCCCCTCCCATGGTCATACCCTTAACTTTGTCATTCCAATGTCTGCAACCTCTGCATACTATCATTTATTTTGTTTTTTTCTGTTCTGCTTTTTGGCCTTTTCTGTTTTAATCAACTCTACTGGGATATAATTACATAAAATAAAATGCACCCATTTTAAGTACACAGTTTAATAATGTTTGACAAATATAGACACACATGTAACTACCACCCCAATCAAAACATAGAATATTTTCATCACCTCTGAAAGTTATCTATTGTCTCTTTTCAATCTTCCCCACATCTCCCCGAAACCATCTGCTTTCTGTCAGGATAGATTAGTTTGCATTTTATAGAATTTTCTATAAATGGAATCACACAGTATGTACTCTTTTTTGTCTGACTTCTTTCACTCAGCATAACTATTTAGAGACTTACCCATGTTGTTGTATCAATAGCTCATTTCTTTTTATTGCTGAAGTATTGCATTGTGTAGATGTACCATAAGAACCAACCCAAGGACATTTGCTATAAATATCTGTGGACAATTCTTGGTATGACTATATGCTTTCATTTCTCTTGGATAAATACTTAGGATTGGAATCGCGTCATACTATAGGTGCAGGTTTAACTTTGCCAAACTCTTTTCCAAAGCAGTTGTACCATTTTATACTCCCACCAGCAGCGTATGAGCGTTTCAGTTGCTTCAGATCCTCACCAGCTCTTCGTATGGTCAGTCTTTTTAATTTCAGCCATTCTAATGTGTGTGTAATGGTATCTCATTGTGGTCTTAATTTGCATTTCCCTGATGACTAATGATGTTGAGCATCTTTTCATGTCCTTATTTACCATATGTTTATCTTCCGTTGTGAAGTGTCTGTTCAAATCTCTTACCCATTTTTAAAGTAGGGTAGTTCGTTTTGTTATTGTGTTGTAGGAGTTCTTTATTTACGTATGTTATAAATGTTGGATACAAGATCTTTTTCATTTTCTTAACAGTTCTTTTGAAAAGCAGATTTTAACTTTAATATAGCCCCATTTATCAAAATTTTCTTTTCTCTCCCTCACTCCCTGAATTCCAGTCACCTTGCCCTTCTTTCAGTTCCTTATATGTGCTATGTTCAAGCCTGTTGCAAGCCTTTTGCCATTCCCTCTGTTTAGAAGGCCCATTTCATGTCCATTCACCTAGTTAACTCTTACTTACCCTTTGAACTCTGTTCAAATGCCACTTCCTCAGGAAAGGCCTTGCCTGACAGACCCCACGTAGATTAGGTTCCTCTGTTACATTCTCTCATAACATGCACTTCCTTCCTTCAAAGAATTTATCTCAGTTTATAACTTAGACTTTATTTTGGAGACTGTTTATTTTAATATCTGTTTTTGCTTACTATTATCTTTTTATTTCCTAGTATATGTTCCAACCAAACCAAACCCCTTGTCATCGAGTTGATTCCGACTCATAGTGACCCTATAGGACAGAGTAGAACTGCCCCGCAGGGTTTCCAAAGTCGAAAGCTTTATGGAAGTAGATTGCTACCTCTTTCTCCCATGGAGTGGCTGGTGGTTTCGAACAGCCAAAAACTGTCAGTTAGCAGTGGAACATTTTAACCATTGTGCCACCAAGATTCCTTTAGCATATGCTAAACACATCGTAATTATTTGTTCAGTGAATACTTACTGGGTGAGTGAATGGATGAATGAAGAATAGAGAGTCCACAGATAAATTCCAATATATATAAAATTTCAAAGCAGTTTTTGACAAAAATATTACATTCAGTGGGAGAAAAATGGATATTTTAATGAATGGTGTTAAGACAATGACTAATTATTTGTAGAAAGAAAGAAAAAGAGAGAGAGAGAAAGAAAGAGAAAATACTAAAGCTAGAGTCCCAGTACATCCCTTACACCAAAATAAATTTCACATAGATCAAACAAATGTAAAAATGAAAGCACAAAGTTACTAGAATAAAATAGGAGAGATTTTTATGATAAAACAAAATAAGAAAATAAGTTTTTTGTAATATTTATGTATATAAGGCCTTTCTAAACATATCACAAAAAGGAAAAGAATGCATAGACATAAAGAATGATAGGTTTTATGTAAAATCTAGATTTTACATAAGACATGTTTTAAAAAAATTACATGTCACATGCGTCACAAAGAGTTAATGTCTTTAGTATACAAATAATTTTTCCAAATTAATAAAGAAAAGAAATAGTTACCTTAACAGAAAAATGGAAGATTGACATGAACAAAACAATTCACAAAATAAGGAAATCAAATAGTCAGTGAAGACATGGAAAGATACTCACCTTTCAGAAAGGATATTTGGCAGGATCTGTCAAAATTCAAAATGTGCGTACTATTTACTTAGGCTTCTCATTTTCAAGAATACACTAAAGATATAATCTCAGAAAAGGAACAATTTAGATGCCCAGAAATGTTTGTTGCAAAAGTATTTATAATGGAAAAAATTTTGGAATATCCTAAATGTCCATCAATAGAGAAGGAGTGGTTATATAAATTCTGGTAATATGTAAATTTTATTATTATTAGGTACTCATATTTGTAATTTTACATATAATGAGATGAATGCCTTCCTTATCTCTCTTTGCCTATAAATTGTAGAATCTACGAGAGTAAGGACTTCTCACTGTATCCCCAGCAACTGACTCAGTTCCCAGTAGGCACTCATATATTCGTTGAATGAATGAGTGAATGAATGAATGAACTAAGGCCTTTCTTTATCTTAATAGGCTGGGAGTGATGGAGAGAGTATTGGAAACTGTCCCTTTTGCCAACGCCTTTTCATGGTCCTGTGGCTTAAAGGAGTTAAATTCAATGTGACTACTGTTGACATGACCAGGTAAGGAGAAATCAGGCCATGTTTAATTCTGGGGACTGAGATCAGTAGACGCCAATACAATCTTGGTGTTTGTATAATGTGTACTTTATCTATAGGCCTAACTCTGCTTATTTTCAATAATCATAGAAAGCCTGAAGAGCTGAAGGACTTAGCCCCAGGTACCAATCCTCCCTTCCTGGTGTATAACAAGGAGTTGAAAACAGACTTCATTAAAATTGAGGAGTTTCTAGAGCAGACACTGGCTCCTCCAAGGTACAGCATTTTACAGGATACTATTGTACTTGAGACAATCTATATTATTGGCCTATTTATTGCAATTGAGGATTCTTCCTTCTAGGCATCTAACTCATCTTTTTCAATACCACGCATCTCTTTTGCTATCTTTCTAGTGAAGTTTTACAAAGATTCCCCTTGATCACTTCAAATATGACTAGAAACTTTACTACAGAATTCTTTATTTAATTTATCTAGGTAGTATGTTAGGAAATGGCAAAAGATAGACTTGGAAATCTGAGGAAGGCTGGTAAATTTGAGTGACATTTAATTTCAGACACATTCTCTGATCCATAATGAAGTTTGGAAACATTTATACTGATAGAAATCAGACTTATTTTATTGTAGACTTCTCAGGAAATTTTCAGTGTGAGCTCTTAGCTCTTCGGGTTGGGAAGCCTAATTTAAAGTTCAAATGAAGCACATGATTAAACCTCCCCCTCCAATTTCAACTACATAAAATTAATAAATAAAACATTTCAAATTTTCTTTTAAATACATAGCATACTTTAGAACAAGAAAATAAATTCTCTGTGGTCTAGAAATTGAGAAGGAACATCACTGAGGTCTCTTTTTACTGGCCAGCTGTCACCAGGGTCCATGTTCAGTTTCTATAAGCTGCCCCTTTTCATATGCAGTTCACGATATGGCTATTTGCTTTTTTTTCCTCTGAGGTCAACAAAACAATGCCTCTCTGATGCTTTACCTCCTTTTAAGGGCTCACCTGATTTGGTCAGGCCTACCCAGGATAATCTCCCATTAGATTAACTCAAAGTCAACCGATTGGCAGCCTAATAACGGACATGATATCCCATCACATTCACAGATATTGCCCGCACCCAAGGGGAAGGCATCATACTGGGCATAGAACACCAGGGGGTAGGAATCTTGCAGGCCATTTTAAAATCCTATGTACCACACCAGCCTGGGGCCAGGAACAAAAACAGAGTTCTCAAAGTGAGACAGGGTCCCAGGGCTACATTATTCATTCTTAGTATTTTGTAATTTCCATTCTTTCTTTTTTTTAACCCATGAATTATTTAAAGGTTTCTTTTCTTTTTTTAATTCCGAAAGCATGGGAGGGCTGTCTGTCTCTTTAGAATTGATTTCTAATTTTCTTCCGTTATAATCAGAGAATTACATTTTAACTAAAATTACACTGCTGTGTTATCATTATTTTAGTTAGAATTTGCCTGATATATAATATTCTGGCCTTTTATTTCCAACCTTTCTGAAACACTTTGTTTTAAGCATACCTCTTGTGCTTAGCATATAGCAACAGACAATTGCTGATGGGGGACAGAGAAACTAGAAAAGATTTTGGTGGATGCTTGGAGAGCCTTATGCATTTTTCCCCTCAAGATATTTTCCACATTCTGAGACTCTTCACGGTAGAAGGGAAAAAAGACTTGAGCAGAAAATGTCTGAAAACAACAGAGCTTTCTACAGTCTTGTGAGACAAAAACGTGAGTTCAGTATCTGCTAGGGTGAGGGTCCTTGAAGAATATTCAAGCACTCATATGAAAATGCCATGGAGCCAGGGGTGAATCAGCACAGTCTCTGATAGAATGAAGGTGATCAGCCAATGAAAGGATGAGCCCTCGCTAGAAGAAGATAACTTGGAGCCTCTACAATTTTTCCATTAAAAAAACTAGAAACAACAAAATACAGGACTATATGATGGAAAAACAAAAGTGAAATAAGACAATAGAAGTCAACAAGTGATCCAGCTAAAAAGAAGTTTTATATAAATGTGATTGATATGTTCAATAAAATAGAGGAAAAATATGGCAAAAATAGTTGTAAAGATGGAGACTTTCACTGAAGAATTAGAATGTATTTTTTGTAGGGAAAATATACATAACAAAACATACGTCATCTCAACAATATAATGTATTTTGAAAAGAACAGAATAAGATTCTACAACTGAAAAATACATGGGTTTTATAGCAGATGAGACAGCAGAAAGAGGAGAAAGAGAATGGGGCAGAATTGATATTTGAAGAGGTGATTTTCATCTAAAGTTGATGAAAAACAGCTCCCCACAATTTCAAGGTCTATGAACCCCAAACAAGCAAAAAATCAAAGAAAAAATCACATGAAGGCACATCATAGTAAGACTTCTTAAAACTGAAGACAAAGATCCATTTCTTAAAAGACTCTTTCAAAGAAGCAACAATAAGACTAACATTTCTGAGTTCTTCGTAGAAAAATATGCTATCTTTAAAGTACTGAAAAAACATTACTGCCAACTTCGAATTATATGTCCAGCAAAAGTTCTCTTCATAAACAAAGACAAAATAAAGATGTTTTCAAACAGAGAAAAACTAATAGAATTCATTGTCATTACTATTGCACTAAAAGGTGTATATTTAAAGGAGTTCTTCAGGAAGAAAAAATTATTCCAGATGGAAACATAGAGTTGTATTCAGTAATGAAGAGCAACAGAAAGAGAAAATATGTAGACAAATATTAATGAATATTAACTGTATACTGACTATACAGAACAATAACAGTAATGTCTAGTGGAGCTTAAAATGTACGTAGACTTAAAATGCAAGAAAATAACAGCGCAAAAGATTACAAAAAAAAAAGAAGAAAACAGTTGCTGTCGAGTGGATTCCGACTCATGGTGGCCCCATATGTGTCAGAGCAGACTTGTGCTCCATAGGGTTTTCAATGGCTGATTTTTCAGAAGTAAATCTCCAGGCGTTTCTTTCAAGGTGCCTCTGGGTGGACTCCAATCGCCAACCTTTTGCTTAGCGGCCAAGTGCTTTAACCGTTTGCACCACCCGAGGACTCAATGCAAAACACAGCGACCCAATAGGACAGAATAGAACTGCCCCATGGGGTTTCCAAGGAGTGGCAGCCGAGCTCTTAACCACTGAGCCACCAGGGCTCCAGGAGGGTGGAAAGTAAACGTAAATATTTCTAATTAGTATTTATCAACCAAGTGGTAAGAGTAATAATTTATAGTAACCTGTATGAGTCAGAACCGACTCAACAGCAACAGGTTTGGTTTTTTTACAGGTAATGAGTGAAATATGCATTTTATAACATCTAAAGTAACCATTGGAAACCCTGTTGGCATAGTGGTTTAGAGTTCAGCTACTAACCAAAGTTCGGCAGTTCGAATCCACCAGGTGCTCCTTGGAAACTCTATGGGGCAGTTCTACTCTGTCCTATAGGGTCTCTACGAGTCAGAATCGACTCCACAGCAGCGGGTTTGGTTTTTTTTTTTTTTTTTGGTAAAGTAACCATTAAAAGAACAATACAGGCAGTCCCTGGATTACAAACCAGTTCCCTTCCTAAAATCTGTCTTTAAGTCAAATTTGTACGTCCAAGCCAGAACAGTTAGGTACTGTTCGTATCTAATGTCACTTAGTCAAATGTTTGTCTTAGTATATAATATATAGTGTATCTTTCTATGCATAAAAAATTAAACACCTCCAGATACACTAAACCATCTTTGACATAATAATACAGTAATACTAATAATAATGTTTTGATGCATGTCGCAGAGTAGCACCCATTTGTTATTATGAACCATTGTATGTATCTCGAATTTTCAGTATAGTAGACCTTACAGGGATTGCTTGATAACAATGGCTTGTACGTAAGTCGGACATTCATAACCCAGGGACTGCCTGTAATGTATAAATACAAGTTTATAGAGGCAAAAAGTAAAAATAAAAACACCACTATTTGCCCACCTATTACCCAGATCTTGGTTTCTAATACCATTCTCCAATAAAAGGAACCAGTGCTTCTTGGAGAAATGGCTGATTCTAGGACACGGACAGGGAAAATACAAGATGAGCTTGGAGCATCTTGTAGTACCAGAAAGTAAGAAAGTGCTCAAAAGAAAAAAGGGATGGAGGCATGTCAAATAGACACAAAGCCAACCTGAAAGAGCTCTTAATGGTTAAAGCTGGAATAATTTTAACAATAAAATAAATAATGTAGTACAACCCAAATTATAGAATAAATATCCATGAGTCCATACTGATATAAATAAATGATTAAATAAATAAATGGATGAGAATCACATATCTGACAAAGGACTTGTTTCAGAATATATAAAGATGTCTCAAATATCAACAGTAGGAAAACAAATACCCAGTTTAAAAATGGACAAGCAATTTGAACAGACACTTCATTAAAAAGGATATATGGACGGCAAATAAACACTTGACAAAATGATCAAGATCATTGGGCATTGGGAAAAATGCAAATTAAAACCATGATGAAATACTACTATACACCTATTAGAGTGGCTAAAATAGAAAATACCGACAATAACAAGTGTTGATGAGAATATGAAGCAAATGGAACTCATGCATTTCTGGGGGAAATGCAAACTGGTACAGCTTGGGAATTTCTTATAAAGTTAAACAGAACTTACCATATGACTCAGCAATTGAATTCCTGGGTATTTACCCTAGAGCTAACTGAAAGGCTGCTAACTGAAAAGTCGGCAGTTCAGATCTACCAGCTGCTCCATAGGAGACAGATGTGACAGTCTGCTTCTGTAAAGATTACAGCCTTGGAAGCGCTAGGGGGCAGTTCTACTCTGTCCTATGGGGCCGCTATGAGGCGGAATCAACTCCTCGGCAACAGGTTTCGTTTGGGTTTTTTTCACCCGAAAGCAGTGGTTCTCAATTGGGGAGATCTTGTCCCCAGGAGACATTTGGCAATGTCTGCATATACTTTTGGTTGTTAAGACTGGGATGAGGGGTTGCCATTTAGTGTATAGACGCCAGGATAGGTGCTACTAAACACTTGGCAATGCATAAGAAGCCTCTCACAGCAAAGAATTATCCAGCCCAAAGTGTGAATGGTCTGCTGTTGAGAAATCTTGCCCTAGAGAAACAAAAACATAAGTTCAAACAAAAACCTGTACACAAATGTTTATACCAGCTTTATTCATAATTGTCCAAAACTATAACAACCCCAATGTCCTTTGTCTGGTGAATGGA